ATGTATAGTACTTTTGTGCATTAAAAATTGTTTTTAAGACTTTTGATAAATCTGGTTTATAAGATAGTATAGATATAGATAAATACTTTTCATTAGTCGGGTTCACGTGACACAAAGTTGTTTTTATGAAAGAACATTTTTACATTTGAAACTTCACACTAAAATATTGTAAAGGTAGAAAAATCCAAATCTTCACAATAAAAACAATATGAAGGTTACCTTCAAAGTGTTTTGCTGTGAAGTTTCAAATATAAAAATGTTGTCTCATATAAGTCCAAGTTTACTTTTAATGGTTATATATTTATAACGGTCTTTATTTATTTTTAAAATATTTAACGGACTGTGTCTTTGTGGTTGTATGTTACGATCAGTTGGGTCCTTAATGCAACCACATGGATGAACTCATTAAAAAACTTGCAACTATAATGACCCAACACATTAAAAAGACCTGTAACCACATGTATGTAACTCGTTATAAAAATAAACCATAAAAACATGTTCCGTTGAATTTCTAAAAAGGAAATAAAGATCATTAAAAACATCTAATTATGGTTAAACACAGTATGTCCCGACTCAAAATCAAGCGAGTACCAGCCTAATTATAGTTTTTTGTGAAAATTCAAGTCCTGGTATGGCACCAATTATGTCTATGGATCGATTCGTTAAAAAAAATTCAAGATTTTCCATATTTTATAATGCAAATGTAGTTTTTAAAGTGCATTTCAATATTAAATTTAAAAAAAAAACTTATATAACAGTTTATGTATTAAAGAAATAAAACCAGATCTGTTCGAGACCATATTTAGGACTGCGACCAAACTTCTGGCCTACGATTAGTTCTTAATTTTCTGGGTCAGGCCAAGATTAGGCACGGTTATAAAACGACTTTCATCGGATCGGGATCAGTCATATGAGCTAGAAGAATTATTATTAAACACATCAACTATTACTAACATTAATAATATTAATTAATAAACCACAAGGGTGGTGCCTGATTGGTTTGAGCTTGACTCTAAAGGTCAAAAGTATCAGGAGGTCCCAAGTTCAAATCCAAGGATGAATAAAAATCCTCTTGTGGCCACGGAGGTTCAAATTCGGTGACTCCGGGCTATCTGCAAAGCAGGCGGTCGCCCTAAGATTAGTCGGCTCGCATAGCGAGTTAGATATTCAGGTTAATAAAAAAAAAGTTAATAGTAATTAAAAATTATTTAGAATTATTATTAAAGATATCAATTTCATTTAGAATATTAATTTTTAATTATTATTCAATATCTTTAGTTAAAAAAATATATAATGATTCTAAAAAGTGTTTATATAAGTTAAAT